TCAGGATTGGAATCTTCTTGAAATTCTGTACATTGGAATAATAATGACATCCTTTCAATAAGTTCCATTGCAGACTTCCAACTTTGCCCATGTTACCTTTCAGAATGTGGCTGACTATTAACTCCCTAATACACACCTGGAGTATCATAACCCTTAACTTCATATATCCATCCATATCCAAAAGTTTGGCTTGGTATAATCAAGGTTAGATGGAGGGTTGCTTGTGATTATTATCCATTCTTATGGACCTCTGTACTTGCTCATTATATGGAAGGCTCAACATATAATTGAATATTAGCATTGCAAGTGACAAGGGAGACTTGGTGGTGACCACAAAAGCTGGCCTTGGGGATTGAAATTTGAGTAAACCATGAGAGGAAGAAGAACTGTTGGAGTTCTTTTCTGTTATGTAAAAAGAAACAACACAAATTTGAGAACAAGTTGGGAGAATGAAAAAAGAACTTAACTGGGAGAAGGGAAGTTGTGGCCAACCACAGGTAGAGCCAGCCGGACTCACCATATAGTTTACAAATGGAAAACCAAGAGAAATATATTTCAGGAGAGATATAATGATGCTACACTCAAAACTCTCCAGGTTGAGAAACACATTAGCCAATGATACATAAAGTAATTGAAAAACTTAAAATAGTTTAAAGAACAAACTCAGGAAGGCACAAAATGAAAGAAAACAATGTGGATGTCAGCTGGAGGTGGAAAAGAACTTTATAACTTACATCTGAAGAGTAAAGATATAGAGATATAGAGAATACCAAGCTCATGTCAAGGTCTAAATAAAAGAATTTAGATGGGAACAAAGAAAGCATGTCTTTTCATTTTAAAGAAAAGAAGGCAGATTGCAATTATAGTTGACCTGAAAGGAAAATCTGTAAAAGGATTTTCTTGCTTACAACCTCAAATAAGGGAGATACATTAACAAAAAAATCTGATAATTCTCAAGGTGAAATTAAAGAATATATAATATATATTTATAACTTGGGTTTCATTAGAAGAAATTCATTTAACCAAATATATTCCTCCCCTGGGGCAAGAACCAGGGCTACGTAACTCCCACCCATAGGGCAGTTCCTCCCCAACAAACCTGCAAAGCTTTCACTACTTTTAATTATTCCTGCCATTCCCTCCTTGCTTGTAGTGTTCTACAAAAAGATCAACTGCCAGTCCAACTAGTGTTCCCTTATCGGTTATCATTTTTAACTTTTAAAGTTTTTGTTTTATATCTTTTATTCATTTATTCTTTCTTTCATGGTAACATTGGTATACAACATGAAGCACAGGTGTGTGATCACACGTCATCAGATGCATGTTGCCATACCACAAGTCACCCACTACCCCTTCAGCATGGTCTGTTGGGTCCTTCTGATGTTCTTGGTATTCCATCCTAGTCATTGGCTCAATGATTTTTTTTTTAATATTTATTTATTTGTGCATACAGAACTGGGGTACAGGCCAGAAGTGCAGGGGGGCAAGAGGATTCACCAGAGACAGAGTGGGGAGCAGAACAGGCCGACTGGTGAAGTACACTGCCGAGGGGAACAGAGGGCGGTCAGGAGTGGTCTACCACGCCATGTGGGTCACCTCCGGGGCCAGGATCAAACTCTTGCTGAAGTGGCTTTAGCTTCTTAGTGCTGTGTTTTAACCCGCTGTGCCACCAGGGAGGGCCCTGGCTCAATGATTTTTTCATCATGTCTCTTGGTGTGTGTTTGTCTAGTATGATTTTGCTTGAAACTCTTTGGGCTTCTGGGATTATGATGTCTGGTTCATTTCTCAGACTGCAATGGTTCTCACCAATTATTTCTTTAAATACATTTTCTATGCTTCTGTTTCTTTGGTCTCCTTTTGGGCCCTATATGATATGGATGTTATCTCTCTTTAGGTTGTCCCCAAAGGGTTCTTACACTACTTTCATTCTTTTAAATTCTTTTTAATCTGTGAGCACTACTTGTGTGTTCTCTGACCCTGTGCCTTTGAGTTATTCACTCTCTTCATTTCTGGCAATTATCTGAAGTTGAGGATTCCGTTGTTTAATTAATTATATTGTGCTTAACCTATTACTTCCAATTACAACTGTCTCATGCTTTCTCACTCTTTTTAAAATTTCTGTTATATATCATTCATTGCTTTTTGAGTTCCATGAACACTGTTATAACTGTTATCTCAAACTCCTCTTCAGGCATATGTGTAGTTGCTAAATCAAGACTCCTTTAAGGTTTTTTTAATTCATCATTCATTTGTTTATGTTGCTTCAGCATTTGTGCCCTGGCTAGCTCTTCATTGTTAGTGTTTAAAGGTTGAAATAGGGATCAATTTCAGACTGTTGTTTTTACACCTGTTGAGGTTGGAGAAGTGGTGCCAGCAAGGGGCAAGAGGCAGAAGAGAACCAGGGCAGTATTGCCCTGCAGGGTCACCTTCAGTGGGCACAGGGCTTCAGCTTCCTAGTACACCACCCACACAGAGTCGTGCTCCAGGAGATCTCCGCATGGTGATTTGTAAAGTCTCACTCCAGGTGCCACCTCTAGGCTAGGTGGCAGCTGCAGGCCTGGGCATGAATTATAGCTTCTACAAGGTCACAGTCAGGAGTTGTTCTCTTCTTTTCCATCACAAAGCTTTACCTTGGGCTGCTTGTTCCTGTTGTTGATAAGTACTTAAACTGTGGTCAATAAAAGTGCTCATTTGTTATCTTGGTCTCAGCAGGGGGAAATTGGATAGGGGGAAACAGCCAGCTTGGGGCTTGAAGTAGTTGCCCCTCTGTGAGGAGACACAGGTGACCCAACCTGGCTCCAAGGTGCAGGCCCCAGCTGTCCTACACTGGGAGATTCAGGCTCGAGACAGTCATCATCACCCTGCCCCCTGCTTCTGTATTCTCCAGCAGTGCCCTCTCTGTCCTGGATAGCAATTCTGGGCACCCCCTTATCCAGCACAGTGCTGGGTCACCAAAGTCCCAGGCAATGGCACATGTCCAAGCTGACAGCTGTGGGGGTCCAGTGCAGGAGTTGCCCCCACCTGGTGAATGGTGCTGCCCCATCACGGAACAGCCCCTTGGAAGATTTCCCACCCCTGCCCACCAGACCACCGCTCCTGATGGGGACCTTAGTTTTCTGTTTGGTTTTTCTCAGGTGTAATTGGCGTTTTTCTACTGCAACCTAGTGTGCATGTATGTAGGAGGTGAGCATGGCACCTTTACTTTCTGCCCTTTCACCAAGCGCTTCCAGGTTTTAAAGCAGGTTGGAGACTTGAAGAATATAAAGGTAGATGTTCATCCATGAGTCACATAATCATTTTCTTTTTAATTCCACACTGACAACTTCTGTCTTACCCAGACCTCTACCCACTATTTGAACAATTTTATAACTTAACTACATCCTTTTATTTGTGGCAATTTCCCCCCTAAGTTATCTCAAATTGTTTGGGGCAACATTAAGCAGCAGAAGGTCGGCTAGGTGAGGGCTACCCCCACGCCCCCAGCCTCCAGTGCAGAGAAGCCGCCTCTCCAGGCCTCCTACTGCAACCAAGTGTGGGAGGGTGGGGGGCTACTCTTGGCTCAAGGGCAGGAGCCAGAGTAATGGGGCAACGGGGGCATGGTCCTTGAATTCTGGCAGCTCTCCAGTGGATTGAGGAGAGACAGATGGAAACATTTCTAATATTAAAATTCTGATGTGTGTTGGGGGGAAAGGTTTACAAATCTAATCAGCGCACAGGAGTGAGCACAGCGGCCTAGTTCCCTTGCTTACAGAGCTTGGAACAGGAAGACTCCTCTGAGAAAGTCATCTTTGAACTGAGACCTGCTTGGGAAGTAACGAGGCACTGGAAGGAAGGAAGGGGAGGAGAGGCCAAGAACTTTCCAAGTAGAAGGAACTAGTTTATTTAAAGACGAAAGGCAGTAAGAAACTGTGTGCATTAGAGGAACTGAAAGCAGTCTTCTCATCCCGTGGGGGACACAGCAGGTGAGAGGAGGGTGAGAGAGGACATGGGGAGGAAGGTCAAGGTCAGACCCCACTCGGTATTGCAGGCCATGTGGTCTGCACCCTGAGGAAGTGGTTTCATGAGATGAGGCAACAGGGGAGCTGGTGAGGGAGGTGGGAATTAGAGGAAGAGATGTGTTCAAGAGCTATTCTTTCAAAGGTCAGGTAAAGAAGTGTCCATGGGTTGGATGAAAGGGCTGAGGTGGTGACAGGGTGCTGCCCTGTTTCTGACTGGCCCAGGAGAGGCCTTTCCTCCCCTGCTCTGAGGTTCTAACCACAGTGTCTCTTTGTTGTTGCTTTCAGTGTAAAGTGAAGAGGGTTGTTCAGGTATGCCTGGTAATCTTGTTTCCATTCTTTAAAACAGAAGCCCATGTTGGAAGAACTTGGGGTACACAAGAATCTTAGCCCAAACAATCCAATCCTCCCAATGGACAGCTGAGAAAATTAGTTTCAATGTTTTCAGTTCATTAGAAGTGTGGTATTTGCACTGACAGAAATTTCGAAGACATAAAAAAAAAATAATAATAAAGCAAATATAAGTCACCCACAGCCAGCGAAATCGCTGTTAGGCCAGAGTGCTTCCTCCTGTTCCCTTGCTGTTCCCACTCCCCTTTGCATTTTTAATAGGTGGGAGTTGCACCATAGATAGCATTATGTCCTGCTTTTAAAATTAATGGTAGCGATAAGCTGACCACAGTCTATCCCACGTTCTTCAATGAAGTGGGCGATTTAGGCAAGCAGGTTGTGGCGCTGCCAGGACCCCAGGGACCCTGGCGGGTCGTGTCACGGGAGGGACAATAGCTAGGCGTGGGACCCTAGCTATTGGACCCCCAGGCTGGACTGGAAGCTAAGCCGGTCGCAGGCTGGGAGTCCCGCCTGAGTCTGGGCTGAGCGATGCGATCCTGGGTGAAGGTGTCGCCCGCGGGACCGGCGCCCGAGGGACGGGGAGGGGCGGAGACGGGGAGGAGCTCCGCGTTCTGAGCCCAGCGCTCCCAGCCCCAGTCTCCGCCGCCCCGCGACATGGGCCCCCTGCCTCTGCTGCTGCTCTGGGGACTCCCCCAGATCTGGGGAAGTTCTGAGGGTGAGTGCGCCAGGGTCGTCGTCCGGGATTGCGGTCAGAGCGGGGGCAGGTTGGGGCACCAAATGCGGGACCCGGGATGCGGCCCCTGCCTCGCGCTCCAGGATCCCCAGACTGGGGGCGCCGCCAGAGGACGCGCGGGTGGAGAGGGGAGGGGAGGATCTGGTGTGGGTCTCCCTCCTCGCCCACGTCCTCCTCTGCCCGCCCCCCTCCATCCCTCCTTTCCTTCTCTTCCTGCCCCCCCTCCCGCCCTCGCTACCTCCTGAAGCCTCTGGCCACTCACCGTGCTCCTCCAACCTTCCGGCTCTCGCAGCCCCACAGAGCGCGTTTCCCCTCCGCTGGCTCCAGATCTCCTCTTTCACCAACCGAAGCTGGTCGCGCACAGATTGTTCGACGTGGCTGGGGGAGATGCAGATACACACGTGGAACCATGACTCAGACACCCTCCACTTCCTGAAGCCCTGGGCCAGGGCCGCGTTCACGGACCAGCAGTGGGAAAAGCTGCAGCATCTATATGTGGTTTATCGAAGTAGCTTCTCCAGTGACATGCAGGAGTTTGCCAAAATGGTGCAAGTAGACTGTGAGCTGAGGGATGGGGTCCCGGGTGGCTATTCAAGGGAGTTGGTGGAGCTGGGAGACTCTGGCCCCACTTGGTAGATAATCTGCTGTGATAGCTCTATCTCCCTCTTTTTGTTGCCTTTCTGCTGAGAGGTTCCAGCCTCTGAGTCCTCAAAACAGCCTCATTCTCGCTGGTCCAGTTTTCTCAGACCTTGAGTTCCCAGTAATCTCTCACCAATTTCTTGTCCTTAATCACTTGCAGTCTTTGAAATCCTTCCGTGACCTCTATCCATTCCTCTTCTCAGATCCCTTTGAGATCCAGCTGTCCGGTGGATGTGAGGTGCATCCTGGAAGCAGCCCGGAAAGTTCCGTCCATGTAGCATTTCAAGGAAGCGACCTCGTGAGTTTCCGAGGAACCGCTTGGTTGGCAGCCCCAGAGGCCCCACAGTGGGTGGCAAGGATCCTCCAAGTGCTCAACCATGACCTCGGGACCAGGGCGACAGTCCAGTGGCTCCTCAATGACACCTGCCCTCAGTTTACCAGAGGGGTCCTTGAGGCCGGGAAGTCAGAGCTGGAGAAGCAAGGTCAGTCTGACTAGCCCTTTCCCTTCTTGGCCCAAAACCATCTGGGCTTTTCCACTCCCGAGTTGCCTTCCCACGAGGCATCGGAAGGGAAGGCTCAGAAGGGAATGGCCAACGTATAGGGGATTGATTCATCCACAGACACTCACCTAGCCTTGGTTTCAGGAATTGAATTAAATTAACACTGATCCCTATGTGAGGGGGAGGAGCAGCCAGTTAATCAAGGCAGTGTCTGAATGGAGGTCCATGTTACAACTGATGCCAGGTGCAGAGGCTCCGGAGCAGGGCTCTAGAGGAAGGCCACATCTGGAGCAGAAAGGGGACGGGCTTCAGGGAGGGCTCTCCTGGAGAAGCTAATGCAACTGGACTGAAGTGTGAGGCTTCCATGCCAGAAGAGGAAATGTGGGGTTGCAGTCGGGCTGAGATTCCAGGACACTCAAACGCAGAGCCCTCACTCTAAGATCACCTCTCCCTTTTGCTTGTTGGATGCAGTGAAGCCTGAAGCCTGGCTGACAGCGGCCCCCATCCCTGGATCAGACCACCTGCTGCTGGTGTGCCATGTGTCAGGATTCTACCCAAAGCCAGCACAGGCCAGGTGGATGCTGGGAGAGCAGGAACAGCCAGGAATGCAGCAAGGGGACACCCTGCCCAACACAGACGGGACATGGTATCTGCGAGTCACCCTGGACGTGGCAGCTAGGCAGGCGGCCGGACTGACTTGTCACGTGAAGCACAGCAGTCTTGGAGACCAGGACATCATCCTCCACTGGGGTGAGGAAGACCAGGGGCCCAGGCTGGAAGTGGGAGGACCATCCTCAGGTTAGAGAGAGGGACTGGAGATGGTGAGAATCTTCACACTCATTACAGAGTCGATTCTGAGGTGAGGGGCCCCACCCAGGAGGGCTAGGAGGGGATTCCAGATACAGGAGGGAAGGGAGCAGAGAGCCAATCTCAAAAGGGCTTCAGATAAGGTGTTCCATATACAAGAAAGAGGAGGGGTGTCCAGTCTGGCAGATTTCTTACAGAGTCTGATTAGGAAACTTGAGATTGATTAATTTAGGATCATACTTTGGAAGAGGTTGAGAGTACCAAAGTATTAAGTCCAGGTGGAGGCCCAGTACCTGGAGAGCAGGTAGTTATACTCTTCTATAGATGAGAAAATTGACCCAAGCTTGGTGAAGCCAAGCTCCAGTGTCTCACCATGAGAAGGTGGGAGAGTTGGGGTTAGTGCGGGGCCACCAGCTACGTGACAACCGCCCTTCCTCTCTGTGCAGAAGTGACTGGAATTGTGGATGCCCAGAGTCTGAGAAAATATGGGGCACCCTGACTTCAGAGGAGTAGATGTAGGTACTTTGAACGGGGAAGGAAATAGAAGCACCTGGCACCATTAAAGGTGCTTCGATGGGGGACCTGGAGTCAGGGGGTTCTATGCTGAGAGAGACATCTGTGTTCTTGAAGCAGAGGGGAGACACACCTCGGTGGGTTCCATCACCTTGGCAGTTTTGGGGTTGCTGCTGTTGCTCCTTCTGATTGGTGGAGGCTTAGCCTTCTGGCTTAGGAATCGCTGGTAAGTCTCCCCTTTCTGTCTCCTCCCTCCCTCAAACTCTCTTCCAGTTTCCTCTGCCTCCTAGCCCCTCTCTCAATTTCCTTAGTAGTTTCTCCCTTTTCTTCTCTCACAGTTCCTACCAAGACCTCCTGTGACTTTTCCGGATACACCTGTCCGTCTGTGAATGCAGGATCATCTCAAGTTCAGTGCTCAGGAATTGACAGTGACAGAGAATTACCTTTGTGAAGCAGAGAACAGTCACAGGCAGCACTTACCACACTGTGAAGTTTGAGAAACAAAAACCTTTGCCCAGGCTCTATTTATCCCTTTGAGCCACAGCACTCTTACCCCTTCACAAACTAACCTCTCAGACAGGATGGTATCCAAGGTTGCTGCTTCCTCCCCCAGCACCCTCTGTTGCCATCTGCGTTCTGCACCCCTTTCTTCCTGAAAGAAGTTGCTCCTCCTCGAATCAAGCCCTCTAGTCTCTCTTAGAATGTGACAGGAAACTTCTCTTTCTCCAGTCCATCCCATATAACACTGCTGTGCTAATTTTCCTAAACTCATGCCTTCCCTGACTCCCCTGCCACCCGCCCACCCCAAACCCACCCCGACCCACCCACCAGCTTGGTAAAGGGGACTTTTGCAATGATTATGCTCAGGTGACAATCTTCTCCACTTGTTACTTTGTAAGTGCTCTGCTCTTACCTGTTTAGCTCCCTATGTGGAGATCTCTTACCCTTCAAGATTCAACTTTAATGAAAAGTGTTATAAGCCATCAAGAACTAACATATTTCTGTGTTGTCCAGGCCTCCTAACATTTTTATCAGCGTTGCTCAACACTTTTTTTATTATAACAAACTTAATTATGTATGATTTTATTAACTTCAAAAAGATACGAACTAGTAAAACCACAAACAGGATTCGCTCACAAACAGAACAACAGAAAAATTCAGCAGATTAAGCCTGTTTTGAGAGTCGCATGCACTCCGGCTTCTCTCCGTGGACCTTCACCTTCTGTCTCCAGATATACCACTTCCTAGGAAGCAGGGGGAGTGTGCAAGGCATCGTGGCTTCTGTTGTTTGCAGACCTGCACAGGCGGTTTACTCTCTTGCCTTCTTACCTCATTTAAATAAAGTTCTGATGTCGATATTGATATTTCCACTTGTAGTCACTGATCACACTTGTGTGTATCTCAGCATCAGTGGCCTCTTGTCCTCAGTGCCCAAAAGGAACTTCCTGAGTGTCACATGCAAATCCTATGCCTTGCTCTGAATCACCTTGGAGATTGTCTTGATCTGCTGCTTCAGCATCAACTCTTCTATGCATGTTGTTTTTATAAGCTTGATAGATAAAAGTTCAGAGATTAGCAATATGCACAAACAGCAGGAAATTGTACTCTAAGCCTTATTTGTATGATGACTTTACAGAAACCAAACCTGAACAGTCAGTTGACTAAGTAGATCAAAAATACTTAAGATTGTTTGGTGTCTTTGCTATAATCGAACGTCTTTGTCTCTAAGGTTGATGTAACCAAAGATCTACTTCTCAAGAGGCAACAAGCTGCGCTGGCAGGAGACATTGCCATCTACCTCCGTGTTAGCACACAGATGACCAGGGACCATGCTGTCATTTTATTTCAGCTTCTGAGTTGATAGGTTGTTATGCTGAGAACTCTTTTGACTGTAGAAATTTTATTGTTCTTTTTTAACTTAAAAAATCTTCATTAGAAGGGTGTCTTCTTCTTATAATTTATTAGAAGTTGTGGGCAAGAGCACTCTTTGTTCAAGGGAAATTGAGAAAAAAAACTTGACATGAAGAGTGAATAATGAGAAAAATGTATACCTGCCTATACTTGCCTTGTTTGGTAGGTTTGAGAAGGCCGTCTTCCATGACGTGGTCTGCCTCGACTTCCTGGAAATCATCTTCATGTCACCAGGTGGTGGGCAGGCCGGGCAGGAGATAATGCTTTCTTCAGCTGTGTTACTGAACCCAAGGATATATTTCAGATACATTCTCTGAAATTTGCTGACAATGGTTTGTCAACAGCACTGGATATGCCCTTTCCAGTGATGCTGAAGAGAATTATTGTGAGGGCATTTTTTTCCAGTAGAACAACTGTCTAGTGTGTAATTATAATTGTATATTGGTTAGACCTTCTCTCCTTGGAATGTTTTGTGAAAAGATTGCTGAACCAGAGTATGGTTATTCTTAGCAGAGGCAACTAGACCCTTACAGTGTTGAAATATATCCTTCTTGCTTAATTTAGGATCAAAACATAGAAGGTCTAGGCGCATACAGTGCATTGTGACTATCTCAGAAGGTGAAAGTTTGATAGTTTATAAATTTCAAAAGGTGTGCATCTGAGTTTTGGAAGTACCATAGATAATGCTTATGACCAAAGTAGTTCTGCAAATTAGGCTAATTGACTTTTTTTTAAAAAAGATTTATTTATTTGTGCATACAGAACTGGGGTACAGGCCAGAGGCTTAGGGGCGGTGAGAGGCTTCACCAGAGACAGAGTGGGGAGCAGAACA